GGGGGGCGAGGAAAACTGGAGGGCGTATCCCCTCTCCTCCGTGCGAAGGACCCAACAGTCCGAGGTTATAAGGGACCAAGCACGGTGGAAACGGGAGAGGCGATCCCGGAAGGGGGGAGTTGGATCCTGGGTACCGGTCGTGGTGCCGTCCTCGACCGCACCTTCAAAAGTTTTGCCTAGGCCCTGAAGGTGGCCTAGGCTGGACCTGGTTCTGACCAGGTTGAGGGCCGGTCGACCTCCGCCTGCCGCCTCGACCCCGCCTCCTGGCAAAGTCCTGTCTTGGACGAGGCGGGGGAGGGTAGAACCTCTGCGGCTGGGGCTTGAAGGGTCTGCGCTGAGGCCCTGGGACATGCATCCCCAGGGAGCGCATCATTGTACGTGAGTCCTTCAGGTTCTGGAGCCTCGCGTCAGTTTTGTCCGAAAAGAGGCCCTGGCCCTCAAATGGCAGATCCTGCAGGGTCTGCTGCAGCTCTGGTGGCAAGCCTGACACCTGGAGCCAGGAGAGTCGCCGCATGGCTATCCCCGAAGCCAGGGTCCTAGCGGCCGAGTCGGCAATATCGAGGGAGGCTTGCAAGGAGGTACGTGCCACCCACATACCCTCCTCTACCAAAGCCCCAAACTCTTCCCTCGATTCCTGGGGAACCAGCTCCTTGAATTTCCCCATTGAGGACCATGAATTGAAACTGTAACGGCTCAGGAGCGCCTGCTGATTGGCCGCTCGGAGCTGGAGCCCTCCCGCAGAATAGACCTTGCGTCCGAACAAATCGAAGCGCTTAGCGTCCTTCGATTTGGGCGCAGCGGCCTGCTGGCCATGGCGCTCCCGTGCATTAACCGATGAGACCACCAGTGAGCACGGCTGGGGATGGGTATATAAGTACTCATGGTCCTTTGAGGGCACAAAGTACTTCCGCTCCACCCCTCTGGCCGTGGGTGGAATCGAGGCCGGGGTTTGCCAGATGGTGGTGGCATTGGTCTGTATAGTGCGGATCAGCGGTAACGCCACCCGAGAGGGGGTATCCGCTGAAAGGATGTTAACTATAGGGTCATGAACCTCCACAATCTCCTCCACTTGGAGGTCCATATTGCGTGCCACCCGGCGCAACAGGTCCTGGTGAGCCCGAAGGTCGATAGGAGGCGGACCCATGGCGGATGTACCCGCTACGGCCTCATCGGGGGAGGAGGAGGAGGATCCTCCCGGTGGCAAGGGGTCCAAGGGCGGGTCCTGTTCCAGGTGCTCCTGGAGCTGGACATCGCCTGCCCCTGGGTCCAGGGCCTCCGCCGGTGTGGGCACTGGCGCCTCCATGCCACTTGGCGGAGGGCGGGAGATGGTAGACTCCGGGACCCTGGGCTCGGAGCGTGCCGAGCGGGACGCAGATGGTGGGGCCCCTTGTGCCTGGTGGTAGGCCCATGGTGTCCAGAAGGACCAATGCGCAGGTCCCTGTGTAGGGTCCTCGGCCGTCTCCTGCAAATGGACGGCCTCCGCGTCCGATGATCGGGACGCCAACCTAGATGGCCACGGCGGTGCCGAGCGCACTGTCGCCGGCACCGGATGGTACGGTGCCGGTTGGTGCCGGTCGTAGGGCGATCTGTCCCTGCGCGGTGCTGGGGAACGATGCCGAGATCTGGATCGGGATCGGTGCCGGTAGTCTCGCCGGTGCCGAGATCCAGATCTGGAGCGGGACGAAGACCTTGACGAGGCCCGGTACCGGGAGCAGCCCCTCGAGCCCGAGCGGCGCTCGTACCGGTGCCGGGAGCTCCGCCTCGAGCCCGATCGGTGCCGGTCGTCGCGACGGTGCCGAGATGTGGAACGGCGTCGCGAAGGTGATCTCTGCCGCGAGTACGACCGGTGCTGAGGTGATATTCGGCGCCGGGACTCCGAGCGGCGACGGGACCTGCTCCGGGACCTGGAACGGTGCCGTGAGTCCGGAGCTGGAGACGGCAGGTGCAGCAGTGCAGGCTTGCCCCTGGACTGCACCTGGCGCGGAGCAACTGGTGCCGGAAGGTGTGACGGCCCCGGCTCCGTGAAGGCGATCAAGTCTCGCGCCGTTGCGAATGTCTCCGGGGTGGACGGGAGACAAGGTTCCACCACCAGCCTAGGTGGTGAAACAGTCCGCACCGGACTCGACGGCCTCGGTGCCGGAGTCGACGGTGTGGCCGCCTGTCTTTGGCGGTCCAACAGGGGACGCGGCTCTACCCCCGGCACCGGGGGAGCCGGCGTCTTCGGCGCGGCCGTGTCCTGGGTCTTGCGGGCCTTCTTATGGCTCGGAGAGAGGGATCGGCGCCGAGACCCCTGAGTTGGGCGCGGTGCCGACGTCAGCCGGTGCCGAGGTGGCTTGTCCGCCGCACCGGTCGGAGCCGCCGGGGCGCTGCACACCGAGGCGCTCGGTGCCGGGGCTGGGCGCGCCGAGGGAGGATCCGGGCTCAGCGCCGCCTCCATCAGGAGCTGCCGAAGCCTGAAGTCCCGCTCCTTCCTAGTCCGCGGCTTGAAGGCCTTGCAGATAGGGCACTTATCTGCTTGATGGGCTTCCCCGAGGCACTTCAAGCAGGAGGTGTGCAGGTCGCTCGTGGGCATAGGCTTCCCGCAGGCCGCGCACGGCTTAAAGCCAGGAGCCTTGGGCATGGGCCCGGCTGTGCGCCGGGGGGAAAAGGGGGGAAGACAACCCCCTAAACCCCCGCTAACAATTTACAACTAACGAAAACTAAAGAACTAAACAACTAACTATCTAAGAACTTTAACTATATACAACTATCTATGCTAATGGCAATAAGAAGCTAGGGATAGTGAAGAGCAGCTATGCCGCGCTTCACTGTTCCAACGACCGTCAGGGGCGGTAAGAAGGAACTGAGGGGGCGCTGGGTCGGCTGGGGTATATATCCAGCGCCATGAAGGCGCCACTCCAGGGGGCTCCACAGCCGACCCACCGGGGTTGCTAGGGTAAAAATCTTCCGACGATCGTGCACGCGGCGCGCGCACACCTAACTGGAATGGATATGAGCAAGCACTCGAAGAAGAACTATTAAGATGCCCATAGACGTAACCAGCCAGCAGATTAGTGACATTAGATCAGCACCAGGTTTTTCTATTGCCTGTGATGAGACATGCGATGGGGATAACATCGCTTAGGTTGCCTTACTCTGCCGATACATTAATGATCAAGGTCCTCAAGAAGAGTTGATCGTGTTATTGCCACTCAGAGGACAAACTCTACAAGTAGCTTTGCGTGTCATGCGGCTCTCCAAATATTTTGGTCAAAGACAAAACCAAAAAAGTCTCTTCTTCTTTGAAAGGTTGCTGACACCTGCTGTATACCATTATCTAAATCATTGATGAAGATATTGAACAGAACCGGACCCAGAGCTGATCCCCGCAGGACCCCACTCGTTATGCCCTTCCAGCATGACTGTGAACCACTGATAATTACTCCCTGGGAACGGTTTTCCAACCAGTTTTGCACTCACCTTAAAGTACACCTCTACTCCGATATAACGCTGTCCTCGGGAGCCAAAAAAATCTTACCACGTTATAGGTGAAACCGCGTTATATCGAACTTGCTTTGATCCGCCGGAGTGCGCAGCCCCTCCCCCCCCAGAGCACTGCTTTACCGCATTATATCCGAATTCATGTTATATAGGGTCGCGTTATATCAGGGTAGAGGTGTAGCTCTGTGACGAAAGAATTTTGCCTCAGTTGCTTAGGATGCCTTATTAAGCTTTAAACTGAAAATCTAATAAATAAGTACATAAGAACGGCCGTACTGGGTCAGACCAAAGGTCCATCTAGCCCAGTATCCTGTCTACTGACAGTGGCCAATGCCAGGTCCCCCAGAGGGAGTGGACCAACAGGCAATGATCAAGTGATCTCTCTCCTGCCATCCATCTCCATCCTCTGACAAACAGAGGCTAGGGACACCATTCCTTACCCATCCTGGCTAATAGCCATTAATGGACTTAACCACCATGAATTTATCCAGTTCTCTTTTAAACGCTGTTATAGCAGCAACAGACCATACAATTCTTCATCCTCCTTATAAAAGTGTCGCTAGCTTCACAAATATTCCTAACCCCATACATCACCTCAGCTGTCATCCACTTACAATTCCACTTCAGCATGTGCATCTTCCATCTTGGTAAACATCTAAAGATGCCAGTTAGCAGTTTATGAACAGCAAAAAAGAAAGAAAAGGGAGGATGAAAAACTATTAAGAACAGAATAAATGCTTTGTTTCACTGGAGCTCAGCTACATGTGCTAATAAGTAAGTAATAATAATTTAAATTAGGCGCTGATTCCTCAACAGTAGTATACTGATGAGCACTACCGCACCCTATTAAAAGCAAATGACACTGGTGCTAGTTGGGTAAAAAATAATCAAAAATCAAATTGAATGGGATGGATAAAACACATCAGGACATCGATACATGAACAAATTATATCCCGGACCAAAACTGCACCAAGTTGACCATGACTATCAGGCAATAATAAAATGTTGAATTTAATCCCAGATGGCGATTAAAAAAAAAAAGTCTCTTATGCTTCATTGGCAGTCACACAGGTCCTTGCTAGTAAATGTCAGACTGGTTGTGATGCACTAGTTTGAGTATCATGAACCCCTAATCTTCTTGCTATTCCTGACATAAGCTTTCTACTCTTGCTCCTCTTCCCCTAAGAAATGAAAATCATTTGCAATGAATAAAGATTGTGCAAGACTGATCAATTTATAAGGCTTTATGCATAAAATTAGTGCTAGAATCTTCATTGCATAGTCACTGTAGACATTACTTTTCCATGAAGAACAACAATTTCTAATTGTCATTGAACATGGTAAATTAAAAATGCACCTTGCAGATTTGGAAGTACAGATTCTCTTACTTTTTTTTTTTCTTCAGAAAACTGAATAATTCCTTTTCCATCATAGTTCACTCCCTCTATCTGTAGCTGAACCCCAATCGCAGATGCCATTTTGGATAGTGGGTATCTTTGATTTCAAAGTCTAAAGCTATTTCAAACAGATTCAAAATCTCTCTGCCAGGCTATGTACTTCTGACTTAAATTCTTGGCTGATGGCTTGGTGTGAGCGATCACATCCAGGAAATCTGCTGTTGTGACTGTGTCCAGCCGGAGTTCGGGTAAATTACTGCTACCTGGAGAGAGAAAATTGACCAAATGCTGAAAGTGAATGAGATGCTGATCAGTGCTAAGAGATGCTCTTTTTAAGCCAGTGCATAATGCAACATACTTAACGGTTAATACACTAAGCAGAAGATTGGATATAGCAGGAGAGAACATAGCTCTTATTGTATTCAGTGCACAGAGATTGACAGCTTCAACAGATGACCTGAGTTATGGAAATGTTGGCTTAATTAGGTTTTTACAAACATACAGTTTAAAACTTTTCTAAGCAAATAAGAGAGCTCCACCTACTGGTACGTGAATATATAATACCTAGTGTTACAATGACAGATCAGCATTTGTCACATAGGGTTCTCTATGAGAGCTATTGTACCTGGCTGATGATTTTCAAGAGCACTGAAGATTTTCCTCACTGGCCGCATAGCTGCTTCCTTGCAGACCAGTTTAACGTCAGAGCCAGAGTACCCTTCTGTCTCCTAATACAAGATCACAATTCACAGGATTACGAATCATTGTACGTGATGTATATACTCTCATGTTACTTCATTCTTGGTTTGAATGCAGAGTTGCTTTATGCAGGTTTTAGCAAATCAGGCATTTGTTTTTTTAAGGACTGTTTTCTGCAGGTAAAATAAAATCTTCATCTCTCTGTGCCTGTTTCCCACTCTTTCTGTCTTACCTATTTTGACTGTAAACTCATTCTGGACCTGACCCAAAGCCTTCTGAAGTCAACAGGAGTCTTTTCACTGGCTTTAATTGGCTCTAGATTAGGCTCTATGTTTCTGGCCAGTGCCTAGTACAATTGGCCTCTAGGCCCGACTGTGATACAAACACCACCAATGGGACAGATTTTCAACATTAGGGCTGCTCTGCAAAAAACCTGCGCCCAAATAACTATTTTGCAAGTCTGAATGTGGAAACTCTTATTTTGGGTTAAGAACATCCTGTTTCCATTTAGCTAGGCCACTCTTAATCCGAAATAAAGAGTGTCCACACACAAAAATAACAAGTGTGAAATAAAAGCAGTTTTGGTGCCAGTTTGTGTGTAGACAAGTCCTTAGGCATGTGCAACCGCACACCTCCTTCAATGCACCTCTACTTCACACACATACATACATAGTAAAAGCACAAATCTGATATCTATGTGCACCCTAGGCACTCAATTGGCAAAGCATGTGCCCAAATAACCAATTGGCCCAGGCACAAATGAATGGATATATACAAATATGTGTGAGCAAATGCTTGCTTGCCTTTAACTTAAAAATCCTGGCCCTGTGTAATCATCTTTAAATGAAAACCCAACCATCCTGAGTGCAGAGCATGGCCTAGCTTGTACCAAGCTGTACATAATGAGGTCTAGTTCTAGCCAGTGATGGAGCTGATAATCATGCCACATTTGGATAAGAACGGGGCTAGCTGTAACACAGGTAGCACTGTTCTGTCCAGTGTGGACAGGGCCAAAGGCTCACAAGAATCACCAGCTGGTACTACAACCTTATGGTTGCCGTTCTAGTGCATTGTATTTGTTAAATATTAAGAATTATGTTTCAATTTCATAGACAAAATGGTTTTTGAAATAGAAACTGAAATATTCTGTATGTCTCTATGAACAGAACTAAACCATGGTCAGCTGAGCAAGTATGCGCTTCTCTCAGCAGAGGTTAGAGGTGACGACAGCCTGAATTCAGGCTCTGTAAGGAAAATATCTGAGCTTTTGGAGATTGAAGTCCTGATGAGCCTTTTCACTTTATTGATGCTCTTTCATGCTGCACTAGTGTCCATGACAAATTCTTCCTACTCAGCAGAGTGCTGTACCATGCTCATCTCCGATATAAACCGAAAGACCGCACTGTGGTGTTAGAAAGGGCTGGAGGTATACCGTTGTAATTTTTTTTCTGTGTTTACGTCTGAAACAGTGAAAAGTTGACCCAATACCAGCATCAAAATACACCTTTGACTTCCAAGTTGAGTCATGCGAAACTGGTGATTTCACCTACTGAGACAAGTTCAATACCTTCAGCTCTCATTGATGTCCCCTTGTAGGAAGAGTCCCTAAGCCTCCCATCTTACCCACATTCAATCATTCACCTTCATAACTTGAGCTTTATTCTGTTTCCCCCGGCTACCATGTTTACAGATGCTACTTGTAGCATGTATAGTTCACACCTGTTTCAATGAGAGCAGAATCAGGCTCATCACATTCCCACAATTCCCTCGCTGAAAAACTTCAGGAGTCTGAGTTGCCAGTGGTGAATTGCACCCGCTTTGCTGTCTTCTCACCTGACCCAGCAAGCTGTACTCCAGCTCCGTTCTCAGCTCCACTCCTCCACTGTTGCTCACTGGGGGCAGCCAGTGCTGAATCATAGCCTGTCGTGCCTCTTTATTTGGAAGGTCAACCAAAATCCTCTTCTCCAGCCGTCGCAACATGGCATAATCTAATTCCCTAAAGAGAGAGAAAACGGGGATAAGTCTTCTCGGCAAGGTTGTGTGTCTGTACGGATGCTGGACTTCTGAAAACTAAGCTCTTGTTGCGGGAAGCCACTTTGCATTTTCAAAGCTACTGGTGATCCTTTCAACCTGGTTATAAAATAGTAATTCATCATCATCACACATTGTTGCCAATTAACTCTATCTGTATGGTTACTGACTCATGATCTAGGGACCTGGAATATGGAATCAAGAGTTATAGGTTCTTTTTCTGGCTCTGATACTGGTTCACTGTCTGGCCTTGAGCAGGTCATTTCACCTCTGTGTCTTGGTTTACCCCATTTTGTAAAATGGGGACACAACAACTCATCTCGGAGGCGTGTTGTGAGGATTAACTAATTGCTCAGAGATCTTCAAATGAAAGGTGCAATAAACGCAAAACTAGATTATAATCACTTTGAGGCACGTGCCATTTTTTTTTAAAATGTGTTTTCACCTAGCACAAAACTGTCCTGATTCATGACCAGGGCTCGTAGGTGCTATGGAAATACAAATAAATAGTAATAATATTCCCACAGGGCCGAGCATCCTTATTAAAAGCTGCAAAGAGTGGGCAAACCATTGAAAGAGAAAGGTGCCAAGGTGCTGAAAACACTAGTAGTCAGATTATTAAAGATGATTTGCAAAGACAAAAATTGATATTTGTATTTTTGCTTCTATGTGATGCATAAAAAAAGGCATGAAAGAGTTTTTTACCCCTAAAATATTTTTTTTTCTTTCTGCTTCTTTTTTCCTACAAAATATCAATACTGTCAAGTCTTGTCTTCCCTGGTTATTCTGGAGGATTCCTTGGAAGTCTCATGTATCCTGTGTGTGAGGTTTTCTCAGCCCTTAATCCAAAGGCTGTGGGTGTAAATCTATTTTAAAAGACCTCTTTTCTCCTAATTGTTTTTCAAGCATTTGAGCTTAACAAGTATTAACAAACACAACTCGTCTAAATAAAAATCAATTCACATCTCAGTTAATCAGGTGTCACTTGCATATAATAAACCTACAAGTTCTCCAATCTTCTACTGAGTATTCCATTCCTGTAGAATTCAAGTGTTCATTTTAAAACATTTTCTAGTCCTTATGGTTGCAACGAAAACCTTTTAGGTGTGAAATTGACTTAGAGGTACCTTGTTCAGACAGGCTGAGTGTTAGAAAAGCACTGTGAATAACTGCACATTCCTGACCCTGAACCCTAATTATAGCAACCTATATCACCACACCAGTAACTATTTCATGCTTATCATTTTAGCAGAGACAGCAAGCTATTCCAGGATGTTGGTGGAATTTGGGATAGTAGGCAGGGATTAAACAAAGCACCATGAGTTTGCTCTTCCCTTTCTGACCCCTACGGTGAAATCCTTGCCCCCATGGAAGTCAATAGGAATCTTCCCATTGACTTCAATGGAACCAGGGTCCCTTCACCACATGTAAGATTAACACATTCATGCTAATAGCAGAATTTGGTCCTTGGTTAGCAGTGTAAATGGGATGCTGTGGAATTTTGCACTGATGGCTATGGCACTATGTATGGAAAACACCCAGTGAAGTTACTGTGAGCTGGAAATGCTTATCTACAACAAACTTTTGACCTAACAGTGAATCCTACTTCCGTCACTATTGGAAATTGTTCATGTAATTTGTTTAATAAATAGCATTTCCCACTGATACATAATATTTTAAGGGCTGTCAAGCAATTAAACAAATTAATCGTGCTGTTAAACAAAAATAGAATACCATTTATTTAAATATTTTTGGATGTTTTCTACATTTTCAAATATATTGATTTCAATTACAACACAGAATACAAAGCATACAGTGCTCATTTCATATTTATTTTTTATTATAAATATTTCCACTGTAAAAATAAAAAAGGTATTTTATTTCACCTCATACAAGTACTGTAGTGCAATCTCTATATCATGAAAGTTGAACTTACGAGTGTAGAATTATGTACAAAAAAAAGTATTCAAAAATTAAACAATGTAAAACTTTAGAGCCTACCAGTCCACTCAGTCCTACTTCTTGTTTAGCCAATCGCTCAGACAAACATGTTTGTTTACATTTGCAGGAGATAATGCTGCCTGCTTCTTATTTATAATATCACCTGAAAGTAAGAACAGGCGTTCACATGGCACTGTTGTAGTTGGCGTTGCAAGATATTTAGTTGCCAGAGGCGGTAAAGATTCATATGTCCCTTCATGTTTCGACCACTGTCCCAGAGGACATGCGTCCATGTTGATAATGGGTTCTGCTCGATAACCATCCAAAGCAGTGTGGACCAACACATATTCATTTTCATCATCTGAGTCAGATGCCACAAGCAGACAGTTGATTTTCTTTTTTGGTGGTTCGGGTTCTGAAAGCATGCTCGTCCCTCTCAGATTTTGGAAGCCAGTTCAGCTTCGAGTGCTGTAGCTATCTTTAGAAATCTCACATTGGTACCTTTTTTGCATTCGTCAAATCTGCAGTGAAAGTGTTCTTAAAATGAACAACTTGTGCTGGGTCATCATCCAAGACTGCTATAACATGAATATTTGGCAGAATCCGGGTAAAACAGAGCAGAAGATATACAATTCTCCCCCAAGGAGTTCAGTCCCAAATTTAATTAAACACACTATTTTTTTAAACGAGTGTGAACAGCATGGAAGCATGTCCTCTGGAATGGTGGCCAAAGCATGAAAGGGCATATCTGGCATGTAAATACCTTGCAATGCCAGCTACAAAAGTGCCATGTGAACACCTGTTCTCACTTTCAGGTGACATTGTAAATAAGAAGCAGGCAGCATTATGTCCCATAAATGTAAACAAACTTGTTTCTCTTAGCGATTGGTGGAACAAGAAGTAAGACTGAGTGGACTTGTAGGCTCTAAAGTTTAACATTGTTTGTTTTGTTTTTAACTGCAGTTATGTAACAAAAAAAATCTACATTTGTAAATTGCACTTTCACAACAGAGATTGCACTACAGTACTTGTATGAGGTGAACTGAAAAATACTATTTCTTTCGTTTATAATTTTTACAGTGCAAATATTTGTAATCAAAAATAATATAAAGTGAGCACTGTACACTTTGTATTCTGTGTTGTAATTGAAATCAATATATTTGAAAATGTAGAAATATATCCAAACATATTTAATAAATTTCAATTGGTATTCTATTGTTTAACAGTGAGATTAAAACTACGATTAATCGCAATTTTTAAAAATTGTGATTAATTTTTTTGAGTTGATTGCGTGAGTTAACTGCCATTAATTAACAGTCCTAAATTTTTTTAAACGGGTGCCTACGTTAAGCCCCTACGTACACATTTAAGTGCTTTAACAAGTGAATGTTCAAAAATACTTAGCACCCAGCAGCTCCCACTGAAGTCACTGGGAGCAGTAGTACGCAGCACCTTAGAAAGAACCTATCAGGTTCACGAGATGTGATTGCAGGCAAAGACTGAGTAAGTACAGATTTAAAACAAATACCCAGCCAATTCAGATCTTAAAGAAGAACTGGAAAATTCATTTAAATACACTCTACTTGAGGCCTGATAAATAAAGACGAGAACTTTAAAATCAATGCATATTTTTATTGATACTTGTCGCCCGTTTGAGTTATGTTTATTGTATATGACTGCAATAGCGAGCCAACAAATAACTAGGCCTTAAGTGGTGCCTAGGCCTTGCATATTTCTTTTGCTCGGGTGAATTTCACCCACCACAAGGACTTTTTTGGAACAGATACCAAAGCAGAAAGAGAAATCTTGTGTTCCCCCCACCCCCCATACCAATACATCGCCTCACAAGGGACGTACTTGGCTAGGAATTCAAAATGGATGTCTATGCAAACTCACATTTAATTCTCTCTTACTCTGACATGTCCTACTTACCAACATAAGGGGTTTACGTCACCTACCTCAAGCTGAGTTTATCTGAGAAATGTTGACGAACCAAAGAAAGGAGCCACATGTCATGCTGGGATGCCCCCTCAGCCAGGTGCTTTCTCATGTTGTGACTTTGTTTTGGAAAGTCAAACTGTCCACATTTGGCCTGAGGAAGCAGAGCTGTGGACGCTAGAAATCCTGTTGGTGCAGATCCTCAGCTGGTGTAAGTTATGATAGCTCTACTGAATACAATTTACACCAGCTGCCGATCTGCCCCTTCACCTGCAAGGACAGTCCTTTAGCTTGGCTACATCTAGGTTCTCCAGTACATGCCTAGCGTCCAAGCCCACATTTAGGATAAGTCTTCACGGCAGAATTAACTCAGGTTCTTATTTGGGTGTTGCTCCTAACCCCTCTCCACATGGGAAAACCTCTCAAGCTGTGTGAGGTGCTTTTACCCATGCTAGCTGGCCCAGCAGGCTAAAGCCCGATTGCCACTTTCACTTTGGACTGGTAACATCTTGTGGTGGGGCAGATATCCCTGTCCCAGTCAACCAGAGGTTAAAGAGCTCCTGTGGTCACAATCAGACCCAACCCCTGCTGCACCTGTGCAGCTTGTCAGGCCTGGGGGCAGGCCCTTCAAAGGGAGGACCTCAGGCCAGTGGGGGAGGCAGTCTGCAAGAAGCAGAGCTAGAGCTCCCAGCCCAGGGCAGTGGGTTAGGTCCTGGAAAACAGCTGAAGAGTACTGCCAGCCTGAGCCCTCTGAGCTCAGACACGCTGGCATACGCCTCCATGTTTGAAATCCACATAGGGACCATCCCTCAAAGAAGAACTATCTTCCTTTGTGTTTGGACTGGGTTATGTCCCCTGGGTGGGGTGGAATTGCTGTGAGAGCCAGCCAGAGGGCCAGCCCCAGAGCCAGACCAGGGGCCTGCTGTTGCCTAGGGAATGATGTCTGAGGTCAGTGAGGTGCCTGCATTCATCCCAAGGGGGTGATGTTCAGACATAACCTTTGACGTGCCCACTTTGCAGTGAGGATGCAGGCCAAACCACCGGACTGCTGATAGTCCTATAATTTCCCCTGTGTGTCCCAAAGAA